GAGGCCAGCTGTCATCGGTGGGCGGGGCTTGATCACAGTGGGCGGGGCATGCTTGGAATCAGGAGCTGCCGACGGCAGAAGTCTTGAGTTTGGGTATAGGTGCAGCCAAAAAACCCGAAAAAATGGTAAAGGTGTGCACTGAGTTGAAAAGTCGAATCTGGGAGACCCGCCCGTTGTGGGCGGAGCGTTCTCTGAAGTAGTGTTTCTCAAAAAGAGAAGCTCATAACTCTGGTATGAGAAGGGCTATTGAGCCGTAGTAAAATCGGTTTGCGAGGAAATGATCTGAGGTGCCTTAAACATGCCTGAAAATTAATGGAAGCCCTCCCTGAGTATGCGGAGCGTGTCCTTAAGTGGGCAGCGTTTATGGCAAACCTGTCATAAGGAAGGAAGGAGCTTATTCAGGGTTTTTCTAGTGGCTGTTTTTCTTTTACTGCACTGCCACGTGAATCTGCCCGTTGTGTTCGATTTTTGAATCCCTTAGCACGTGCTTGCTATTGTGGAAAGCGCCTTGAACAATTGTACTAAAAATGACTCAGGTCAGTACAAAGAGATGATGGGATGCGAAGCACCTTTGTGAATACTTAACAATGCAGTCTTCTAAAGCGTAATGATTGAATTGCAAGCGAGGCCTATAAAAGTGTATCGTATTTCGGCCTAGGCTAGCATACTGAAAAGTAGAGAAAATGGCCTCGCCCTTGTGGCAGCGTTTCTCATCGAGCTCTCCCTCGCTGCTCCTGTTTGCGTATTTGCGCCCAATCGTTCGACTTCATTTGGAATTTATTAGCTGCGTTAGTTGTGCGTGGACTAAATTAGCCAGATGCGGTGCTTAATATGTAATACGTTCTTCGACTAAGATTCCTCATGTGAAATGACTTAAAAAAGATCTGATGAAAATTCGGATGAATATATTAAGGGTAAATTTGAATGGAGTAGGGGGATGATGTGGAGTATGGCTACAATAAGTTTTAATCAGGTAGCGAATAGATAAGTGTACAAGATGGTTAAATATCAGAAGTTGTA